CACACACACACACACACACACACACACACACACACACTCAAAAACACACACAGACGAACACCCCCACCCTCTTTCCCTCTTCTCTTTCCCCAACCTTCTTATTCTCACAGCGCTCACCAACACATTTTCGATTCAGGCGTTTATGCCCCTCGCGTGCATTGAGAGCTCGCACCAAAGCCATTAAAAAACATAAATGAAATGCGTAAACAAACCCACAGCGATAATCAGAATAGCCGCCCCTACCGGAAGCGAAGCCTGAATACCAAATCGAAGCTCAAATGGTTCGTTAGTGCTGCAAATTTGGAGTCTTTTCAGCGGGCATTCCCGTTTCGTTGAGAAGGAGCTGAAAATACACGGTGAGAAGCAATGGCATCTCTAGTTGGCTTGGGGTTGGGGTTGGGTTGGCGGTTTGAGGTTTAGGGTGGAACTGAGGGTGGATGTGGGGTTGGGGTTGAGGTAGTAGTAGGGGAGTGGGTGTTGGGTTTGGTTAGGGTGGGGATAAGGGTAAGGTTTAGGATGTTTGGTTTTGTGTGGGGTGGGGGTAGAGGTAGGAGTAGTGGTGATGATAGAAGTGAGATTGGGGTGGACGTTGTAATAGGAAGGAGGTTGCGGGTAGGTTTGGGGTTCGGGTAAGAGGGTTGGTGTTGGGTGGGGGTTGAGGTTTGCGGCAAGAGTGAGAGATGAAGTTGTGTGTGCTTTTGGTTGGAGGGGGTAGGGGTGGGGGTGAGGGTATTGTGTTTGGAGTGGAGTGAGGGTGCAGGTAGGAGTGGTGATGAGGGTGGGTGTGGTGTTAGAATTGGGGAATGAGGATGGGTATTGGGTTTGGGGTTGAGAGTTAAAGGTTGAGGCAGGAGAGAGAGAGACGAAGGAGGGCTTGAGATTGGAAAGGAGGTATGAATAAAGGGGAGGGTAGGGGTAGGGTTTGACGTAGGGTAAAACTGGGGGAGGGGTGAGGGTGGGAATGTGGGTTGGGTTTGGGATCGGAAGTGAGTAGGAATGAGGATGGGATGGGGTTGGGAGTGTTGGAAAAGCAACCCAGCTGTTGTGTGTGTGTGTGTGTGTGTGTG